ACCCTCTGCCAAAACTCCCTGGCTCTTCCTGCTCTTCGTGGCTTCATCATGTGACCCCTCGTGCGTCTGGACATCGCCTTAGTGTGATGATCCATCGTTTCTCTTTTTGTTTTCTTTAAGTTTATTTTATCTTTTTCGAAGTCTCCTCTGTTCATGTCTTCTCGCGAAGAAAATGAACACAGCCAGACTGGCAAGCTTCACCTACAAGGACATTCAAACGCGCCGCGCTCGCTGGAAGAACCCGAACGCTCGGCATCCACCTGACAGAGATACACGCACACGCCGTTTTCAGATCGGTCACACCCAAGAGCTGTACCTGTGCAAGTATCCGTTTTACTATGCTTATTTGAGATCTGTTGATCCTTGGTGTCTAAAAAGGTTCTGTCTGTGATGAATTTTGCCAAACTAGAAGATCTCTCATCTTCTTACTCTCTCTCTCTCTCTCTCACTCCTGTTTGTTATTCGTCTGTCTCGTTAGTTTTACTGTTTACTGTACATACATGTATCCCGTGTTTAAATGTAGAATTCTGTATCCGTAGTTTCATTTTATTAAAACCATTATATTCTTGATTGTTTTGAATGCTCATATTTTACAAGTCAATGAAATGCGATCCTAGCTACAAAGCTTTACAAGTTGTTACTATATCAGTAACGTAAATTTTATAAACACGAGAAAATTAATGTTCACGGCCGGAACATTGAGATTTCTTGGAGTTTATAAAAAGGGATAACGTTGTTGAATTAATTGATGGGTTAATCTTACAGCCGTTTGCTGGACAAACCGATTGTTTGATAGCCAATTGATTCCCTTAAAGTTATCTCATATAATACAGGTTACGTATGATAATTAAGGCACATCTCAATGTCGCTACAAGGGGTATGAGGGGTATGAGGGGGAGGGGGCGGGCATCATTAAGCATCATTAAGCAGGATGGATGTGGTTAATGCAACAATGCAACGTCCTGTTCACAGCTGTTTCACAATGAGATATAGTTTACTGTCCTTGGGGGGAGGGTGAGGAAGGGCATCATTAAGCAGCATTAAGCAGCATTAAGCAGCCTCACTGCGTAAGGGTACAGGCTGTTAGCCAGTCTGGTTTTACTGGCACCAATAGACCTGTACCTTCTCCCTGAAGGCAGCAGGTGGAACAAATGATGGGCCGGGTGATGCCGGTCCCGCAAGATGCTATGCACTCTCTTCAGACAGCGGGTATCATAGATGTTGCTGATCTCTGGAAGAGTGGTCCCAATGATTTTACCCGCTGTATTTACCACTCGTTGGAGTGCTTGCTGATGGGCCTTAGTGCAGCTGGAAAACCACACTAAGAAGCCATACGTCAGAACACTGCTGATGGCACAGTTGTAAAAGTTGACCATCAGCTGTTTAGGAATCCTGGCGCTCCTCAGTTGCCTCAGATAGTAGAGGCGTTGCTGGGCCTTCCCTATCACAGAGGTGATGTTGATTCCCCAGGACAGGTCATCAGTCACAGATACGCCCAAAAATTTTAAATATGGCACCCTCTCTACCACTTCATTTCCAATACAGAGAGGAGAGTGATTGGGTCTGCTTTTGCGGAAGTCCACAATAATCTTTGTGGACTGAGGTCGTTGACCATCATGTGTTGGTCCGCACGGACAACACATCGGTGCTCTCCTATATCAACCATCAGGGGGGTCCGAGGTCACGTCACCTTTGCAAGCAGGCCCATCAGATCCTCCTATGGGCCCAGGGGAAGTTGCTATCTCTCAGAGCAGTATTTCAGTATATCAGAATGTGGGAGCGGATATCCTGTCGAGGCAGGGGCTGAGGCCCGGGGAGTGGAGACTTCACCCCGAGGTGGTGGAGCTCCTGTGGGAGAGATTTGGTCGAGCTCATGTAGATCTTTTCGCATCGTCAGATTCAACCCATTGTCCCATGTGGTTCTCCCTCACACACCCAGCTCCTCTTGGACTGGATGCAATGGTGCAGGTGTGGCCGAGGCTGCACCTGTATGCATTTCCCCCGATATCTATGCTTCCGAGGGTTCTGGAGAGGGTTCGCCGGGAAGGGGCTCGTCTGCTACTGATAGCCCCTTACTGGCCGACCCGAGTTTGGTTCTCGGACTTGGTGTCTCTTCTGAATAGGGTTGGGTACCGAAACTCGGTGCCAATAGGGAACCGGTTCCGACGTTAACGGTTGTAACCAGACCGAATAAGAACGAAAATTTCGGTGCCTGATTTCGGTGCCTAACTTCATTAGGCACACACACACGCGCAAGGTCTCTCGCTCTCTCCCTCTCCGCCGTGCGTGTGCTACACAGTTTGGAGCACAGTTTCTTCTGTCTCGCATGCGCGCTCTTTCTCGCAAGGTTTGGCTGCATTTCACGTGTAAAATTACGTGTCAGAACGCGCTCTGGGTGGGCCGATAGTCTGAATCCCATATAGAATCAAGCCAATTCATTGGCTGATGGCGCGGGCGCCGCATCGACGCACTTACGTCGTCATATTATGTTGGCGCGCGCCATCTGCTCTCTGCCGAAAAAGGAAGCTGGTCGGCAGCGCGAGGAGCTTGGCAGCGTCCCGTTCCCTATTGAGGGATATGTTACACCAGTAACCAGAGATGTTCTCTTTCATAGGTTCACTCAACGCTGCGTAGCTAAGAAGCAGTGGATTTGTAGGCTGCTGTATCACGTGCCGTTTGAACTGACGCGCTACAGCGATCTGTCACATTTCAAAGAGCCAAAACGTTATTTATTGTGTGAATCTCGTAAAAATATTGACAGAATCTGACAGCTGTGGATTTGTTCCATATCAAAAGTAACCTTCTCTGTCTTGTCTGTCGGTGTCAGTGTCCTCTTTGTCCGCGATTTTTCTGTGTGAAAAGGGTCATTTGCGTGAGTCTCACGGTCAATGCGTGAGAGTTGGCAGCTCTGCCTGCTAGTAATCTCTATTAATCTCCAGTATTATTACATTGTTTGATACAATATTGTTTCATTTGATATTATGTAAATATGATTTTTTATTTTATATTGGTTTTATTATTACCATATGTTACTTGTATTTATATTGTTTAAAGATTTAAGTTAATATTGTGTCCAGTTTGGCCCTGTAAATTAAAGGGTATTATTTTTTTATAAAGTGTGTACGGTTTCATCTTCTTAAGTACCGATTTAAGAACCGTTTAAGCACCGGAACCGTTTAAAAAATACCGAGTAGGTACTGGAATCGGATAAAACCCAACCGATACCCAACCCTACTTCTGAACGGCTCTCCCTTGGAGATTCCACTCAGGAGGGACCTGCTGTCTCAGGCAGGGGGCACGATATTTCACCCTTGGCCGGAGTTGTGGAAACTGTGGGCCTGGCCTCTGAGGGGGCCAGGCTCATAGAATCCGGTCTCTCGACTGAGGTCGTTGAGACCATTCTCCAATCCAGAGCTCCTTCCACGAGAAAACTTTATGCACTGAAATGGAAATTATTCTCCACCTGCTGTGGTGAGCGTCAGTTAGATCCTGTTAACTGCCCTGTTGGTTCAGTTCTTGATTTCCTGCAAGACCGTTTCTCTGCTGGATTATCTCCTTCCACCTTAAAAGTTTATGTGGCGGCTATATTGGCCTACCACACCCCTCTGGGGGGTGCTTCTATCGGGAGAGATCCTTTTATTACTCGTTTTCTCCATGGTACATTGAGGTTGAGACCTGCACTGCACTCTAGAGCTTGCGATATGGCCATTGTACTTGAGGGTCTGGCTTTGGCTCCCTTCGAGCCCATTGAAGAGGTTTCAGAGAAATTCCTCACCCTGAAAGCTTTATTTCTCCTCGCTATTTCATCTATCAAGAGAATTGGAGATTTGCATGCCCTGTCGGTTGCTCCTCCATGTTTGGAATTTGCACCTGGTATGGTGAAGGCATTTCTTTACCCTAGACTGGGTTATATTCCTAAGGTCCCAGTTAATGTTGGGGGCCCAATAGTGCTGCAGGCCTTTTATCCTCCACCTTTTAATACCCCAGATCAGGAACAACTGAACCTGTTATGTCCAGTTCGGGCATTAGATGCCTACGTTCATAGAGCTGCCCTGTGCCGTAAGTCTGAACAATTATTTGTGTGCTTTGGGTCACTCAAGAGAGGGTGCCCTGCATCTAAACAGGTGATGAGCAAATAATTTCGGGTGTTTCCCTTCTTGATATTTGCAATGCGGCAGGTCGGTCCTCTCCGCATACATTTGTCAGGTTTTATGACCTTGACCTCTCCACTCCAGGGGCGAGGTTGCTTGCTTCTTAGTGTGCGCAGGACTTCACACAGAATGGGCATTTGTCACTATGGCATAGTGGGTATGGGGTTCCCACCGCGTCTCAAACGCAGCTCGAGTTCCCTTGAAAGAGAACGTCTCAGGTTACGTATGTAACCCTGGTTCCCTGATAGGGAACGAGACGCTGCGTTTATCTGCCATACTTCCTGCATGCCCTGATCGACTAGCTTCAGACTTTTCAGAAGCTGTCGCGGTCTGTTTTCAGGGGTGCTTTATAGTTTCCTGGTCTATGACGTCACCTATGACGTATCGGGCTTCCATTGGACTGATTTTACACGTGCTTCATGACGCAATCACGCAGAGCGTTCCCACCACGTCTCAAACGCAGCGTCTCGTTCCCTATCAGGAAACCAGGGTTACATACGTAACCTGAGACGTTCTCTTTCCTCTCTACTTTTTCATTTGACTTTTTCATTTTGCCCATAGGACAAAATCAACAACATTCAGTTAACCCAGCAAGAAAAGATGGAGAAGAGGATCTCAGAGCAGTTTGAAATTGAAAACATGGTCTACACTCAAGATTCCAACTACTTGAAGTTCTTGAGTGAGATTACGAATGAGAAGTTTTCAGAGGATCAGTTACCCATCTTTGACAAAAATTGCAAGTACAGTAAAATTCTGGAGGCGCATTATAGTAGATCTTCTTAGTTTTGAGAAACAAATAGCAGTGCAGTGTATGTGGGAGTAACTTAGCATCTCTTTGTTTTCTTTTAGATTGTGGTGCAGCGAATGGCTGACCAACTGCCCATGATGATCTTATTTTTCATGTTGAAGCAGACTGCTGATCTCCTGTCTACTGACATGTTGACTTTACTGGATGGGGCAAATGTGAGTGAGCTCCTGTTTGAGGACTCTGATGTCAGCAGAAGGCGCAAAGAACTACGAGAGCGCCGGGATCGTTTGAGTGCTGCTCAGCACGTTTTTTTTCTACTAACTAGAGGGTATATCTGAAAATTCATATAATTTATCTATGTCAATCTTATAATCTATCTGACAACTTCTAAACAAACATCCATTTTCCATAAATAAACCTATACAATTTTCTTCAGAATATTAAAATATACATACATAAACCCACATTTTATAAGTTTTGATTGTTTCCTTGTTACTCACAAAATTGGCTAAAGCAGGGCCGATACATTTTGTTTTAAATAGCTAAATATCTACAAGTTAAGGTCTAACTTAAAATTAGGTCTAACTTGACATTTAATTATTTTTTTGGCTCATATACAATTTTTTTTAAATATGCTAATAAAATATATATTTATAATTTTTGAGGGCCAGTTAAAATGATGGCAGTGCATGTATAAGATTGTGTACACTGATGCTGCAACGGTCACCAGCACTCCACATCAGACTATCATGATTCCCTCACATCTACATTTCACTCACTGCCCGAACTCATCCCTGATTGCACCCACCTGTGTCTCATTACTAAACCTAACCCTAACAAATAGACTTCCTTTATTGTCATTGTACAAAAAACACACAGTGAAATTTGACAACGAAATGTCGATTACTTGGCTGCCAGTATAACAAAGCTAAAACCTTATTCCTACACAATAAAAATAAATATACTTCCTATAACTAAGAGCTAGCTATATACAGGGTAACGCAGGTGTTAATCACCTCAGTATTGTCTTAATCTACATCTCTTTCCCTTCACCCCCTCTTCCCCCATCTCTTATTCTCCTATGCCAAAAATCTATATAGTTTAACGTGACCAATTATCATACAACACTATATATGTTTGGTGTCATTCGAAATGTCTGCCCGACTGGTCTCATCCCCACAGAAGTAAACCAAAAGATGACAAAAGGCTTTAATAGTTTAGAGATAGGTCTAAGTATGTAAAGAAATATTGCAAGAGGCTCAAGGCACGATTTGTATTCAGATCAGTCCCAGATGTACTCCAGACACTCAGCCTTTTGTATTTTTTTATGAGCATTTGGTGTTTTGTATTGATTATCTTTGAATTGAGTATGTAATTGGCATGATACATTTCCTGAATGTTAATAAATTGTTACATTTAAATGTATTCTGACTTACTCTGTAGTAAAGCTAATAGAACTAGATGTTTCAATCCCTTAAGTAGGAAACTCTTGACAGTAGCAGTCGGTGTGGAGTGGTGAAAAGGAGGGTAAGGTATGTCATTGGGGTCATCAGGTGGGCACCCTGCTTCATCGACGTTTCGTTGATTGAAGCCCACAACGTCTCCAGAAGGCTCAACGGTGTACCCAGCGTCCCAGGTACACCCCCCTCCATGCCATACCCTCCATATTCCTGATGGGCTCTGCATGGCAGGGGCGTCCTTCTCCCTGAGTTGGGCTTAAGCCTGACCGCATACCATCTGTCTCTACCTTGCTGCCCAGTTGGGGTCCTTGCGCTTGATCCAAAGCCAGTTACTGCTTTTTTTGGCAGTACCTGACATGGACTTGATGGCCTGTTGGAGAGAGCGACCCTTCACCCCTATTTTTCTCAGCAACCTGGTGGTAGATGTGGCAACAAATCCCCTGCATCCCACCTCTACTGGGAAGATACTGGTCTTCCAGCCGTTCTGGGATGCTTCAGCTGCCAGATCGGAATTTTTTTATTTTTTTTCTCTCATAAGCCTCTTCAACCCCATCTTCCCATGGTACTGTTAATTCCACAACATATACCAGCTTTGTTGATGGAGACCACAGGACCATGTCTGGCCGGAGTGTTGTAGCCACTATTTCTGGGGGAAACACAAGCTTCTTATCAAGGTCCACTTCCAATTTCCAATCCCGCGCTGACTGCAGGATGCTTGCATCCTTAGGTGTTATACTATGCTCTTGATATTGGCCAGCTGGTACGAAATTTGTGAAGTTGACCTGTCTTGCCGATGTTTGTGGGAGATTGTTTGTGGTGGTTCGCTTTTGTTCCAGTATTGATGCCAGCTCTCTGAGTACTTGGTTATGCCGCCAAGTATAGCGCCCTTGGGTGAGACTTGTAGTGCACCCTGATAGAATGTGCCTTAGGGATGCAGGTACTTGACACAGGGAACAGGCGGGATCTTCTCCATACCACTCTTTCAGATTTTGGGGGGAGGGTAGCAGGTCGTATGTGGCTCTGATGACAAAACTCAGCCGTGCTCCCTCCATCTGCCAGATGTCACGCCAGCTGAGCTTTTTCTTCTCCAGACCCTCCCAATTGGTCCATCTCCCTTGCTTGGCCATTGAGACGGCTTTTGCATGTCACTCTCCCTCCTCTTGTCTCCTGACTTCTTCTACCACTAGCTGTCTCTTCTGCACTGATGTTGCTTTATGCCACAGAACAGTTTTTGGGATAAGTCCGAACCCTGCCCTCCCATGCTGTACTTGTCCAACCACATCTCTGAACTGAAGCGCAGACTTTGCACTCTGAACAGCTTCTGATGGAGTCCACTTCCTTCCAGCTACCACCCGGGGGGCCGCTGTTCGAATGACTGCATCCTCAGATTCAGTTAGGGTCATGACGAGCCTTGCTTTGGTGCATTTGAACTCTTCCACGAGCCCTGTGATTGGTAATTCCAACTTGCCATGTCCATAAAGTCCGACGGAACTTAAACAACGTGGAATTCCAAGCCTGTGCAAGCTTTAGCTGTGTGCTTATCAGCCGTTCCAACTTTTCAACCTTAGAGATGGGGATCTCATACACAGTTAACGGCCACAAGAGTCTTGGGAGTATGCCAAACTGAAAGCACCATAACTTGAGTTTTCCTGGCAACAAGGTCTTGTTGATGCGCTCCATATACATGCTGGTATCATTTTTTAGTTGTTCAAACTGCTCGGTGTCTTTGAGCTTCGCATCATACCATCTCCCCAAGCTCTTTACTGGCATTTCTGAGACAGTTGGGACAGGTGTTCCGCCGACGTGAAATCTCTGGTCTGTAACTTGGCCTTTCACTATGGAGATGCTTCTGCACTTATTGGGCTTTAACTTCATCCTCGCCCATGTTATATTTTGATGAAGTTTTTCCAGCAATCTCTTGGTGCAGGGGACAGTTGTTGTGAGTGTTGTTAGATCGTCCATATAGGCTCGAATTGGTGGTAACCTCTGATTAAATTGTAGTCGTTCTCCTCCCACGACCCATTTCGAGGCTCTAATAATGATCTCCATTGCCATTGTGAAGGCCAATGGGGAGATGGTACACCCCGCCATGATGCCTACTTCCAGTGGTTGCCAACTTGTGGTGAAGCCTGACGTTGTAATGCAAAACTGTAGATCCTGGAAGTAGTGTTTCACTAAATTTGTGATTATAGTCGGCACCTGGAAGAACTCAAAGGCAGCCCACAGAATTGAATGAGGGACTGACCCATAGGCATTGGCCAGATCAAGCAACAAGACATGGAGATCTTTCCCTTCTTTCTTTGCAGTCTGAATTTGATGCCATATGATGCTGTTATGTTCCAGGCATCCCGAAAAGCCTGAAATGCGAGCCTTTTGAATTGATGTGTCAATAAAGTGGTTTTGTTTTAAATACTGTGTCAGTCGCTGTGCCAACACACTGAAAAAGATCTTGCCTTCAATGTTCAGAAGGTTTATCTGGCGGAACTGTTCAATGGTCGTTGAGTTCTTTTCTTTTGGGATGAACACCCCTCCCGCTCTTCGCCAGGCTTTCGGGATGATTTGCTTTTCCCACGCCACTTTCATGTTTTTCCACAGGATTTTCAAAACATCTGGAGCGTTCTTGTAGACACTATACGGTACGCCGTTAGGGCCTGGTGCAGATGCCGATCTTGCCTTTTTCACTGCCTGCTTTACCTCACTCAGCTTGGGAGGGCTGATATCAAACTGATGTTGTGGTGGTGATATTGGAGGGATGTCAGTGGGGACAACGATAGGTTCATCTTTTTTCTCATCAGTATAGATGATTCTCTGATGCTCTTCAACCTGGTCTTTTGACGTTTTCAGGGATCCACTCTTCTCCTTTATGAATATGCCTTTCACAAATTTAAAAGGGTCTTTGTAGAAATCGGTTCTGGCTTTTTCCTTCTTGTTCCGGCGCATCCGTAGGCTTTCTGCTCGACGGAGTTTTGAGAGTCTGTGCTTTAGGTCCTCTTGAAGGAAATTTATGCCTTCCCTTTCTTCTACTGTCGCCTTTCTCCACAATTTTCTTAGCCGTCGCTTCTCTTTCACCAGTTGTTGGATTTCTTTCAGCCGACGGGACTTGGGGGCGGGAAGCACGTCTTTCTTTCTGACTTGCTCCTTCACTCCACAATTTTCCTCTCCATAGCTGTAGATAAGGTCGCCCATCTTCTCCAGCTTCTTCTCGGCTGATCCTCTGATGTTACTTAGGATAAGGCTTAAGTCTGTGTTGATGGTTTCCCACTCCTTGCTGTTAGACTTCGGCCATTTGACCAACGGCTTACGTCCTTGCATGTTTTCTTTTTTGTGGTGGGCTGGTTGTGGTCTTGGACTGGTGGTTCTGCCTGAAGCTTCCTGCTCATTCCCTGGGGTGCTAATTCTCTGCGGACTGTGGTTTTTTTCCTGCCGCTGATTCTCATCCGACTGATTTAACCTTCTTCTTGACAGCATCCGGTCAATGCGGGGCCCTGGGTTGGTGGTTTTCAGGCATTTCTTCCGTCCTTGATGTACCTTGAGACCATGGGTTGATGTTACTTTCGCCCATCCACACACGCAAGTCTGAAGAACATGTCCAGCTGCTAGTTTCTCAAGAGCCTTGCTACTTCCTTTATTCAATGTCATGTCCATTCCAAGGGTCATTACCGGGAGGTCAGTCTGTGAGTCTTCTTGCGCCCCTGCTCTCGCAGACTCTAGGGGTATTCTTCTTTTTGAACTTTTCGTAGCCAGAAAAGGTGGCTCTTGTGCCCTAATAGGGTGACGGAGCCTGCTGCTATGGGTAGCTAGCCCATAACAGCCCTGTTGGGGTCTATTTCCTCCTGTCAGCTGTCTCTCCATGCTGTCACACGGTCTTTCCCTTGTCGTCAGCTGCACTTTCACAACAGTCACTGGATTTTCTTCCAGAAGATCAGTAAAGCTAATATAACTAGATGTTTCAATCCCTTAAGTAGGAAACTCTTGACAGTAGCAGTCGGTGTGGAGTGGTGAAAAGGAGGGTAAGGTATGTCATTGGGGTCATCAGGTGGGCACCCTGCTTCATCGACGTTTCGTTGATTGAAGCCCACAACGTCTCCAGAAGGCTCAACGGTGTACCCAGCGTCCCAGGTACACCCCCCTCCATGCCATACCCTCCATATTCCTGATGGGCTCTGCATGGCAGGGGCGTCCTTCTCCCTGAGTTGGGCTTAAGCCTGACCGCATACCATCTGTCTCTACCTTGCTGCCCAGTTGGGGTCCTTGCGCTTGATCCAAAGCCAGTTACTGCTTTTTTTGGCAGTACCTGACATGGACTTGATGGCCTGTTGGAGAGAGCGACCCTTCACCCCTATTTTTCTCAGCAACCTGGTGGTAGATGTGGCAACAAATCCCCTGCATCCCACCTCTACTGGGAAGATACTGGTCTTCCAGCCGTTCTGGGATGCTTCAGCTGCCAGATCGGAATTTTTTTATTTTTTTTCTCTCATAAGCCTCTTCAACCCCATCTTCCCATGGTACTGTTAATTCCACAACATATACCAGCTTTGTTGATGGAGACCACAGGACCATGTCTGGCCGGAGTGTTGTAGCCACTATTTCTGGGGGAAACACAAGCTTCTTATCAAGGTCCACTTCCAATTTCCAATCCCGCGCTGACTGCAGGATGCTTGCATGAAATTATTAACTCTATAATAATAATAATTAATAATTCATCACATTTATATAGCGCTTTTCTGGACACTCAAAGCGCTTCACATAGAAGGGGGAATCTCCTCAACCACCACCAATGTGCAGCATCCACCTGGATGATGCGACGGCAGCCATATTGCGCCAGAACGCCCACCACACACCAGCTTACTGGTGGAGAGGAGACAGAGTGATGAAGCCAATTGGTATATATATACATGGGGATGATTAGGAGGCCATGATGGACAGAGGCCACTGGGCAAATTTGGCCAGGATGCCAGGGTTACACCCCTACTCTTTCAAAAGACATCCTGGGATTTTTTGTGACCACAGAGAGTCAGGACCTCAGTTTAACGTCTCATCCGAAGGACAGTGCTCAATTGACAGTATAGTGTCGCCATTACCATACTGGGGTGTTAGGACCCACACAGACCACAGGGGAGCACCCCCTGCTGGCCTCACTAACACCTCTTCCAGCAGCAACCTGGTTTTCTCAGAAGGTCTCCCATCCAGGTACTAACCAGGCTCAGCCCTGCTTAGCTTTAGTGGGCAACCAGTCTTGGGCTACAGGGTGATATGGCTGTTGGCGAGTAGTAGATTACGTTAAATCCATGACCCCACAAATCTACGCTCAGGTTAGTTTAACAGACTAAAATACAGCTTAGGTGGAGCAGAGACTGAAGACTGGTGTATTAGAGCTCTAAATGACACATTGGCATTAGTCATGTATACCTAGACTGTAGAGGCTAATCATGGGTTTTCCCTCTTAGAACAACTCAGTGTTAGACCAATCTAAAAAGGAATGAGCCACAACCTCTGATTATTGTAATAGTATTCTTACAGAGAGTATGGGGAAAACCACGGCATGCTTGTATGAAGTTAGAGGAAGTTAAGTTGGTCAGCTTGGTTCTATGGTAATGGTCATTACCTCTGGTTATATATAGTCTTACCTTAATTAAGTGTGTTCAGATCTATGAGGACTAAATTGTATATTCTAATGAGCAAGTAGAGTGCAGCCGTCTAGAATATTAGTCAACCACCTCTGTCTAATGACCGAGTTTAAGATCTGAAATACCCGGCCGGTACAAGACAAGTGTTAATAGGAATCCGAATGAACGAGTGTAATTTCAATAAAGAGTTAAATAGAATAATCAAAAGTCTAGATAAATTATTATATAATGGTCAATAATCAATTGGCATTCTAACCTAAATTTGAAGTTGTGATAAAATGGAGGCAGATAACAGTTTAATTGGAATTAAATTACTTTGCCACACTGAAAAGACAGAACACGCAGAAACGTACTCGGTTACCTAATGTAACCTCGGTTCTCTCGTATTGCCTAAGTTGCTTAGGCTACGGGTAAAGTCATCTTTTCTCGAGATCTGAAGCCAAAAATTATCCTTAATTTTGTATTTATTGTCAACGCAGTGCAGCAGACAGCAGACCATAGCAGACTGAGTAAGAGTGCTCATTGGCTGTCCTGCGGCAAATGCAGCAGCCTATCGGTGAGCCGCCCTCTACGCGTCACGGCCCGCCAGAGTGGGAGTGGCCAACGTATATAAAAGAGGGGCTCAACGGGCTGAACTCTGGTTTTCATTTGACTGAAGCGAATAAGCTTGCGGCGCGGGAACGGCAGGTTACTCAATACTCGTTCCCTCTTCTAGAGAGAACCTAGGTTACATTAGGTAACCAAGTACGTTCTCTTACGAGAGGTTCTCTCGTATTGCGTAAGTTGCTTACGCTACGAGAACCCATTGTCAACGCCGTGCGCGCCAAGCATCCGCTGCATGAGACCCGGGGAGACCCGTGGAACAAACATGCAGAACAACGGCGGCCAGCAACGCGGGCCAGCACATGTAATAGACGCTTGATATGAGCACAGAGCGGCACTGCCGGTCTATGTATAGACTTAGAGTAAAGGCGGCCAGCAACGCGGGCCAACACAGTTCACAAGCACACAATAGAGCAAGATTTTGCTGGACTATGTAAAGCGAAAAAAAACCTTCGCGCAGCTTTTAGGGAAATAGGCGGCCAGCAACGCGGGCCCGCACATGCATACTGACGCGTCATAGGGAAACACGAACAGGCTCAGCCGGCTTACATACGGCGAGGCTCGCCTCGCTGAAATGAGAGTGGTCTGCACATGACAACTGGGCAGAACACACACATCCCCTTAGACTGACAAAAGTCTCGCCTGCAAGGCGGGAACTTCCAGGTTATAGAACCTCACGAATGTAGAGGGGGAGGCCCAGCCTGCCGCCATACAGATATCGTGAATAGAAATCCCGCTGGACCAAGCCCATGACGAGGCCATGCCTCTAGTGGAATGGCCCCTGATGCCCATAGGGCACTGCAGGTGTTTTGACGTGTAAGCTGCTGCGATAGCATCCACTATCCATCTGGACAGGCTATGTTTCGAGGCGGGGAGACCCCTGGTGCGCCCTCCAAACGAAACAAAGAGCTGCTCGGAGCGCCTAAAGGAGCGCCTAAAGTTTATATGAAGGCATTTCTCACGGTCTGACCATAGGCCGAAGACTGGTCTGCCATTGAACAGAGCGCCCCAACCTAAGTTGGAGGCATCCATTGCGATAACCTGTCGGTGTGAGACAGCTCCCATTGTCACTCGCCGCTGGTACCAACTGGCCGCTAGCCAGGGCTTCAGCGCTGAAACGCAGCCCTGAGTGATTCTGATTCGAATGTCGCCGGACGCCCAGGCCCGGCGAGGCACTCGAGCGATCAGCCAGCGCTGTAGCGGTCACATGCGCAGTAGACCCAGCTGAAGTACTGCTGCAGCTGAGGCCATATAACCCAGCATCCTCTGAAATGTCTTTAGAGATGCAACGCTGTCTTTCTGGAAAGACGCGGCCAGGAGCCGGACACGGCGCGCGCGCTGTGTCGACAGCCGGGCCGTCATTGCTACAGAGTCCAGTTCTATGCCCAGAAAAGAGGCTGACTGGCTGGGCAGTAGCGAGCTCTTGGTCCAGTTGACCGTTAGACCCAGGCTTTCCAGGTGGCTGAGAAGCCCCGCTCTGTGAGAAACGAGTTCCTCCTCTGATTGTGTCCCCTCAGGGGAGCGAGAGCCGTATCCATGCACATCGTTAACGTACGGGGTGCTAAAGACAGGCCGAACGGCAGGACGGTGTACTGATATACGGTGTACTGGGCGTCGCGGCGGCAAGCACACGCAGAGAGAAAGCAAGAGAAGGCTTAAAAGGATACTGTCGCCGGATAGCGTAGCAGGCACGGATCGCTGAAGGTGGCGAGACTCTACCAGGAAGTTCACCCTGCAACAAAACACAGACAGAGACACACACAAATACCCTGCCAGAGGTAGGGGACCGTCACATTATTCATTTCATAAACCGAATAAATAAAAATTCATCTAACCATAGCCCAAGAATGTTCATCAAACAAACAGCTATGACTTTAACAAAAACAACAACAACAACAACAACAAAAATAGCTAAAGGTACTTTTAACTAAAATATAATAGGTTCTCATAAATGGCAATCCATCAAAAAATATATATATATAAAGCTTTTATAAAGAAAAATATATTTTTTAACAACTTAAGATAAGACAAAATGGTAAAACAAAAACATATATAAAAGAACTAATGACAAAATAAAATATTATAAATACAATACAATTAAATATAAAGATTATGATAAAAATGGAAAATAGTAACTTAAGATAATACAAATATAAATGACTAAATTAAATATTTAAAATATATATATATATTTTTAATCTAATACAAGTATCACACTTAACATTAAAACATTATGGATAAATGACAAAGTAAAACAAAAAAATGTTAACCCTTTTGTTGGTTTAGTTATTTCAACTAACAAACTAACAACAGTGAACTTTAATTAAATTATTAATTGTTGTTTTTATTTCTATATTTCCCCCAGATACTTAGAAAACACAGATAGCCTACTTAAGACCAAGGTAGGAATTGCCTATTGCTCACCCTAATAAAAGTTGAGTTTGACAAACCTTTTTTTTTTTGTACTTTTTTTATTTATTTATTTTTTACATAAGTAGCCTAAATATATATTTTTTGCTATGGATTTTACACAGCCATATGTGTTTGGATTGGCTATATGACGTCATAAGGATGCGCCACGCTCCTGCATCTGATGTGAGTCGTCTGAAAAAAGGTTTGTGGCTTTTATCGTTTAAAAAAGTTTTTAAATCAATGTAAACCCCTCAGACAATTTAGTAGTTTTTACAATATTGAGGTTTATTTTTATTAGTAAAGCGCATAGGCACAATAAGAGAAAATGTGCGTCTCATTTTGCTCTCTATCCTGAATGAGCTTATCGTAAACGCGAATCAATTCACTGACAAGTAGTGATATTAACATGACAAATTGTCCAAACACACAGAAAAACTCCAGTTGAAGCGACTGCGATCCACGTGACAGTGACACACTAATGATGGCGTTAATTAAAGAGGAGAGTGAAGATATAAAGATTGAAGAAACATTCAGAGTGAAACAAGAAGATACTGAGGAAACAACAGGTTGGTTTCATTCTCAAAGCTGAAAAAACTGAACTCAGAACCCGTCTTGTAAGCTCAACTTTGTTTCCAGGCGGACTGGTTGAAATTGGCTGTGGGAGAGACATCTATAAAATGAAATGTGGAAATGCAGTGACTGCTGTTTTTATGTTTTTCACCTTTTTGTGCGATCCACATTAAGCTAACAACATTCACATTCAGGAACGCATCTATAATAAATAATTAAATACAAAATCAATACATCATATAGCTTAGGTGTGCAAAATTATCAAGATTATAAAACGTCTTTTGAGTAAGTCTATTGACTACAAAGGTTTCTAATTGAATGTTGGCTAATAGACGCTAGAGGGCTCTTCGTGTCTGTATTTACCTTATTTTTAAAGTAAGAGCAGGCACAGCCGTTTGTAACTTAACTGTGTCATAATTTAATCAAAAACACAACGGTTTGTAGTGCAAATTATGTAATTATGCAAATTATTTTACCATTTACTGCATTTTGTTATTCTTCCACATCAGAGAAACGTCAGTAGGCTGTAACAATTATGTTCTATTAGTGCATCGATGCAGAATCGTCCACATTGCATCGTGATTTGGATCACCCTTGTACGACATATGAATAGAGAGTTATAGCCTACTGATATAGCAAAGACAAAATAGGCTACAGAATATTTCGTTCTGTATTTACAGGTGCAATATTTGAAAATCGATAATTATTTATTATTATTTTTCTAAATTACAATTATATCTGCATTTACCGGTATGTCAAAACCTATAGACTTATAAACATAAAAATGTAATTTATTAATATTTATTCGTGTCAAAATTACATATAAACATCTTTTCCTATTCAATTTTGCCTGGAAACGCTTCCAACACGCCTAAGAATCAAACATATTTAAACTTTTGAACTGGGTAATTTGTGTAAATACACTTACTATTTTGTCTTGTGGACTATAGATGAACATCTGTTATGTGAAGTATCTTCTTCAGAGCAGGATTAAATAAAAAAAGTATATTGTTAAAATTGGCAGGTAAACTTAGGATCTGTATATTTTGGTCTGTATTATTGCAGTATTATTATTTTTCAATGCACTGCATGCAGACATGATTAATCAACTAAAAAATGTATTGGTGATTATTTTCATTATCAAAAATAATATTAATTTTTTTGTTGATATTACCAGTTACTTGATGTAGCCCTAATATCAATAATAATCGCTGCAAACTGCTATGTTGTGCAGTTTGGTCATGTTGTGAGGAAATGTAAAACTGAGTGTCATTATCATAGTGTGAAATTTAATTATAATGTCCATATAATAATCATACTTTTGTTTGATGAGATGCCTCATTGTTTGCACAAGAAGGTGGTAAAGATCAGATAGATGAGACCTAAACCATGCTAACGTTTGTCAACAAATGCCAGCATAATTCTCAAGCTATTCAAAAGAATGTTGTGGTCTATGTCTTCGAAATATCCAATAGCATGTTGTTGGTTTTGATGGTAAACTGACATTAACTTGTCTTTTTTTGCTTTAGACCTGATGACACTGAAAGAGGAGAGTCAAGAACTGAATGAAATAGAAGCGAAAGACCAACATGAGAAGCATGATGTCACAAATAAAGATAAATCCATACAGACTAAAACGAGTTTCTCACGAAAAAGAGCTCAGAAGACGGGCACTGGAAGCTTTTTCACCTGCTTTCAGTGTGGAAAGAGTTTCAAACAACATGACAGCCTTCGAGCCCACATGGGAATTCACAATGGAGAGAAGCTTTTCACCTGCCAACAGTGTGGAAAGAGTTTCAATCAAAAATATGACCTTGGACTCCACATGAGAATTCACAATGGAGAGAAGCCTTACAAATGCGAACAGTGTGAGAAAAGTTTCACTTACAAAGGAGGTCTTAATTCCCACATGAGAACCCACACTAGAGAGAAGCCTTTCGCATGTGACCAGTGTGGAAAGAGTTTTTCACAGAAGCACGTCCTTAATTCCCACATGAGCAGTCACACTAGAGAGAAGCCTTTCGCATGTGGTCAGTGTGGAAAGGGTTTCAAACTTAAAGTGAGCCTTAAAAACCACATGAGGATTCACTCAGGAGACAACCGTTTTACATGTAATCAGTGTGAAAAGAGTTTCTGCAATAAAGATAGCCTCACGAGGCACATGACACTTCACACTGGAGAGAAGCCTTACAAATGCAAAGAGTGCGGCAAAAGTTTCACACATAAAGCACTCCTTGTTTCGCACATGAGAAGACACACTGGAGAAAGCCCGTTCACCTGTGAACAGTGTGGGAAGAGCTTTGCACGAAAAGGGATTCTGCAGATTCACATGAGAATTCACACTGGAGAAACACCATTCACATGTGACCAGTGTGGGAAGAGTTTCAATCATAAATCATCCCTTCATTCACACATGATAGTTCACACTGGCGAAACACCATTCACGTGTGATCAGTGTGGAAAGAGTTTCAATAATAAATCAACCCTTAATGCACACATGAGAGTTCACACTGGAGAGAAGCCTTACACCTGCGAACTCTGTGGGAAGAGCTTCACACAAAAGGGAAATCTTAAGAATCACATGACAGTTCACACAGGAGAGAAGCCATTCGTATGTGTTGAGTGTGGAAAATGTTTTAGACGTCACTCTGGCCTTAATTTACATATGAAGATTCACTCAGGAGAGCAATGTCCTCATTGTAGAAAGAGATTCCCAGACAAGAAATGCCTTGACAAGCACAGACTAGTTCACACTGGTGAGAAGTGCCAGCAGTGTGGAAAGACTTTCAGATGCCTTAAGGTTCACATGAGAATTCACACTGGAGAGAAGCCTTTCACTTGCTCTCACTGTGGAAAGAGTTTCAATCAGAACACACACCTTAAGGTTCACATGAGACGTCACACTGGAGAGAAACCTTGTACATGTGTTCAGTGCAAGAAAAGTTTCACATATCGAGGAGCCCTGAAGCGTCATTTGCAAACTCGTTCTAGAAAGAAATCGCAGGGCTCTGAATGTGACAAAAAGTCTACAAAAGTCTATAAAAGTCTGAAGTCTACAAAAAGCAGCGGTTTCAAAAATCACCTGCGCATCCACTCTGAAGAAAGGCAATTTGAATGTGATAAGTGTGATAAAAAATGTAATTTTCCATCACACTTACAGATACATCTGAAAAGTCATGCAGATGTCAGACATTATTTTTGTTCTTTGTGTGGAAAGAGATTTAAATGGCTTGGTCATTTAAAATGGCACCAGAAAACACGTATCTGTGTGAAACTAAGGCTACGTTCACGTAACAGCTGAATGAGGGACGGATATAGTAGTGTACATTCATGAATACAAGAGAATAGAAAGAAAAATATTTAAAAATGTATTTGCAATAAAAAGTAATATATCTCTAGATCAAAAGACTTTACAGATGTGTGCATTATGTCCTGTACAACTGTATATGTATTCACATAGTATCTATATTGCCTAACTCAGATGGCAAAAATGCAATAAGAGTACTGAATTATATAAAAACTGGCAGTAATTGCTAGCTATTTAAGGAGAGAGCCTGAGGGAAAGAACTGTTTTTATAGCTAGATGTTCTAGTGCTCAGAGATCTGTAATGTCTGCCTGAGTGCAGAAGTGCAAACAGAGTGACAGAGACTGATTATTTTTCTAAAATTGTATTTGTGTTGGACAGACAAAAGAAAGTAAACACATCTGGGATGGCATGCAATTGAGTAGATGATGAGAGAATTTTTATTTTGTATAAACTGAAGTATCCCTTTAAGGTGTGTTGTATAGGGTGACGTTTAATAGTGGCCAATGGCTGATCAGGTATAGCAACCAGAAGGTTGTAGGTTTGACCAAAGCACTTAACCTCTCTAGAAGTCACTTTAGATAAATTATTAAAACAGACACATGAACTCATGTTCTATTAACCTTTGGTCCTCTACACCTATGAGTTTATAGATTTTTTTGAGGGTCTTTGAATTCAGGTACGGATTTTGTAAGACACTCCAGTGTTCAGTAGAGTGCGCACACACACACAAAAGAAAACAAATATTTCAATGCATTCATAAACCTGAACTTGGTGGGAATAATTTGTTCATTAGGCCTACCTAAAAAAGTTTACCAAAAGTTTATAAAAAAAATGTAATAATACCATATGTATTGTTCTTGTAGGGCCCTCTCGATCTGCCCAACAATGTTTCCGATGACCGGATGAAGGTTTCTGCCCGTTCTGTCTTTTCAGTGTGGCAAAGTAATTTAATTCCAATTAAACTGTTATCTGCCTCCATTTTATCACAACTTCAAATTTAGGTTAAACTGGCCGGCCCAAAAGTTATGAAAGACATCGTTAAAATAGTCCGAGTGACTACAGTGGCTCGATGTCTTTCATGACTTTTGGGCCGGCCAGTTTCGATCCCTTAGAAGCCTATATCTTAAAGAAAAATATCTTAATTTTTGTTCCGAAGATGAACGAAAGTCTTACGGGGTTGGAACAACATGAGGGTGAGTAATTACTGACAGAATTTTCATTTTTGGGTGAACTATCCCTTTAAGGTAAGACTCTATATAACCAGAGGTAATGACCATCACCATAGAACCAAGCTGACCAACTTAACTTCCTCTAATGGTAACTTTATACAAGCATGCCGTGGTTTTCCGCATACACTCGGTAAGAATAATATTACAATAATTAGAGGTTGAGGCTCATCTCTATTTAGATTGGTCTAACACCGAGTTGTTCTAAAGGGAAAACCCATGATTAGCCTCTACGTATACATGACTAATGCCAATGTGTCATTTAGAGCTCTAATACACCAGTCTTCAGTCTCTGCTCCACCTAAGCTGTATTTTAGTCTGTTAAACTAACCTGACCGTAGATTTGTGGGGTCATGGATTTAAAGTAATCTACTAGAGTTAATAATTTCAGAGTAAGTCAGAATACATTTAAATGTAACAATTTATTAACATTCAGGAAGTGTATCATGCCAATTACATAATCAATTCAAAGATAATCAATACAAAACACCAAATGCTAAGAAATACAGAGTAAAAAATACATAATGCTGGGTGTCTGAGTACATCTGGGACTGATCTGACTACAAATCGTGCCTTGAGCCTCTTGCAATATTTCTTTACATACCCAGACTATCTCTAAACTAATAAAGCCTTTTGTCATCTTTTGGTTTACTTCTGTGGGGATGAGACCAGTCGCACAGACATTTCGAATGACACCAAACATGTATAGTGTTGTATGATAATTGTTCACGATAAACTATATAGATTTTTGGCATAGGAGAATAAGAGATGGGGGAAGAGGGGGTGAAGGGAAAGAGATGTAGATTAAGACAATACTGAGGTGATCAACACCTGCGTTAGGGTTAGGTTTAGTAATGAGACACAGGTGGGACCTGAGACGAGCCGTGGTGAGGAGCAGAGAGCGCGTCTCATGTGCTGCGGTTATCACTCCGCCCAAGTAGCAGTGCTTCGCCTACAGAGAATATAGTTCCCAGTATTTATACGGTTAAAATATGTCTGTGTCTCATGTGACTTTGTTTTTTGTACACTCTGTGACTATACAAATCACAACAGGTAAATAGGAAAATGTTTGCGTTATTTTGTTACTTATTTGGATTAGTATGCTAGCTGCAACCATTTACATCCAGTCTTTGTGCTAAGCTAGGCTAGCGGTGGGTGCGTCAAACAGACTTATAGCACGCACGGAGATGAAAAAGGTATGTATGGACTTATCTAACTCTGGGGGATAGGGTGAATAGGCTAAAGTCCCAAAAAGTCGGAGTGTTCCTTTAACTTTGATGGTTTAATGCTGTCTGTACAATTAATTGACTGGACAAAAACACTTTATGGTTTTCCTAAACCATCTCAGTGTAACAGCTTAATTTTCTTTCATAATATATTATATTATTGTAAAGAATTGAACTGTCCTGCAGAAGATTTTGTAAATAATTTTTCATAGGATTTCTTAGTAAAGACTGGAAACAGAGGACACCGAGGAATTGGAGGATGAGGAGGATACTATTTTGTTTTCTGTCATGGGTGTGGCTATGGCAATTAAAGTTCGAGCATATTGTTTGCAAACTGCAATTGATTAATTAATTAAAAACAAAGTAGTTGAAATGCTGTGTTGTTTTTGTTGTTAAGTAGCAGCAATATTCAGTTATTAGCCGTGTCCACTGTATTTTTTGTTGGTTTTCATGAGACCCCCCTTGAAATGACCAGGACCCCCCATTGCCCCCCCCCCCCCCCCCCCCCCCCCCAATCAAAATTGTCTGGAGCCGCCACTGTCCGGGCAGTGAGTTATGGGAAATGTAGTTGTGAGGGTATCATGATAGTCTGTGGAGTGCTGGTGACCGTTGAAGCATCAGTGTACACAATCTTATACATGCACTGCCATCATTTTCACTGGCCCTCAAAAATTATAAATATATATTTTATTAGCATATTTTCAAAAAATGTATATGAGCCAAAAAATAATTAAATGTCAAGTTAGACCTAATCTTAAGTTAGACCTTAACTTGTAGATAACTTGTTTAGCTATTTAAAACAAAATGTATCGGCCCTGCTTTAGCCAATTTTGTGAGTAACATGGAAACAATCAAAAAGTATAAAATGTGGGTTTATGAATGTATATTTTAATATTCTGAAGAAAATTGTATAGGTTTATTTATGGAAAATGGATGTTTGTTTAGAAGTTGTCAGATACATTATAAGATTGACATAGATACATTATATGAATTTTCAGATATACCCTCTAGTTAGTAGAAAAAAAACGTGTTAAGTGCTTCCTGAGCAGCACTCAAACGATCCCGGCGCTCTCGTAGTTCTTTGCGCCTTCTGCTGACATCAGAGTCCTCAAACAGGAGCTCACTCACATTTGCCCCATCCACTAAACACAACATGTCAGTAGACAGGAGCTGAGCAGTCTGCTTCAACATGAAAAATAAGATCATCATGGGCAGTTGGTCAGCCATTCGCTGCACCACAATCTGAAAGAAAACAAAGAGATACTAAGTTACTTCCACATACACTGCACTGCTATTTGTTTCTCAAAACTAAGAAGATCTACCTCATAATACGCCTCCATCATTTTACTGTACTTGCAATTTTTGTCAAAGATGGGTAACTGATCCTCTGAAAACTTCTCATTCGTAATCTCACTCAAGACCTTAAAGTATTTGGGATCTTGAGTGTAGACCAAGTTTTCCATTTCAAACTGCTCTGAGATCATCTGCTCCATCTTTTCTTGCTGGGTTAACTGAATGTTGTTGATTTTGTCCTATGGGCAAAATGAAAAAGTCAAATGAAAAAGTAGAGAGGAAAGAGAACTTGATTAAACTGGATTAAAAAATTTAGTTTTTCCACCAATTAGGAGCAATATTTACCTTAGCGGTCTTTTGAAGGACAGAGTAGTTCCTGAAACACTGACTCACCACGTCAGTCAAATGTGCGATGATGATGTCTTCAGGAGAAATCAGGAGAAATACATCAAGTCAAGAAGACAAACAGCCACATTTGTTAAAACTATTAATGTCATTAAATTGGTCATCTAATCTTTTGGATTTATAATGGGGGCTCTCTACAATAACCATAAAGTCTTTTGTGATGGTACCTTTGATGGCATTGAGTAATTCAACGGCTGGCTTCTTAAGGTTGGCCACATGTTTTTGCAGAAGCGACTCAAACAATCTGTAGTTACTGAATCCGGGCAGTTCCCTCCCTCTGTTAGTCTGGCTCAACTCTTTTGAATTGCTGACTTGTTTGGAAACAAAATGGATTTCTTATGAAATTTACTGACTTTTTCATTTTTATCAGAACTCTAAGAAAACAACAACAACAACAACAACAACAACAACAACAACAGTGAATTCAAAGCTGTAGCATGTTGTAAATACTGACAGGTTGTTTTTGTGCTGTTAAGATGATCATTCCACTTCTTGAACTCAGCCCGAAGCTGGACAAACAAGTTTTCCCCACTCATCTGTTCCCCTGATGATAAAGAGTCGATTTGATCACTGAATCTTTTTAGGGTCTGTGAAGAAATGTTTTTTTTTTGTTTCATTAGCCTTTTACAATATCATGCAAAAGTGAATCTTCTGAGGAGGTAAAAGAGGTATTATCTGAACAGAGAACATTTTCATGGGCTGTTCACACAAGACATGAGACAATAGTGGATTTAAACAGAATGAATCTTGCTTTTCAAACATTTACTTCTTTTAACTTGACGTTAAAGGGGTCATATAATGGTACATGCACTTTTACAAGTTGATTGTACTGAAATGTGTGTTGGCAGTGCCTGTACACAACCATCATAAAATTATAAAAATCCATCCAGTGTTTTTGTTTTAATCTCCTTATATGTTTTCCCCTGTCTCAAATCGAGCTGTTCGAGCGTGTGACGTCACAAGGTCGCACGCCCCTCCCACGATTGTTGATTGACAGCAGCGTTTCAACACAGACCCGACCTCGCTCGCTCGTGAGCTGTCAATCATAGTCTGCGCGGACCGGCGCGGTCATTGTTGATATGCTGGAGCACTGTCTATGAGCACAATGGCGTCTAAGCGATTGTGGTGTTCTGTTCTTGGGTGTAATAACGAACACAGCAGTCATTTTAATGTTCCTAAATCCGAACCGCTGAAGACGCAGTGGCTGAGTTTGTTTTCGAAGGGAATATTCCCCACGAGCAACGTCAATGCTCTCATGTTTGCGCGAATCATTTCTCAGCAGACTGCTTTATAAAGGAGGGTCAGCATAAAGCTGGTTTTGCTAAGAAGCTGCTCGAATAAAGGAAGAAGCTGCCATGAATAAAGGATCGGTACCAGATATTCGTGTTCCTGCTGAACCTCTAGAACAACTGAAGTGAGTCTAACGTTTTATTAAACTTTATATTAATATATTAATCTTTGCAAATCGCTAGCTGCACGCTTCACAATGAATGTGTCTAAGGTTTACACTCGGTAGATTACGGCATGTTTTCTATGTATGATGTTCTCAATATAATTCATAATCCCACGTTTATACTGAACAACGCGTTATGGTTATTGTGTTATTGAGTTACAAACGGTGTACACACAGAACAGAGAGGCGGGGTGAGCAAAGCTCATGATCATTTAAAGTCATATGCACTGAAACGGCGTGCTGAAAACAGAGCTGTTTTTGACCAAGTAAAATAAGTGTTTTCTTACAATACTAATGAGAATTTTTAATTAAAGTATATTACAAACTTTTAATTTAGACCCTAAAGAATCATACTAGCTTGTACAAAAATGGCATTATATGACCCCTTTAAGGTAATTGCAAAATATTATTCACAATTCTGATTTAATATTTTCTTATTCTTTTTTCCCTAAGAAAGAAATCTTGCAATTCAAACTTTTTTCTCAGAATTGTGAGTTTGTTATTCTGATTTTTTTTTTTTGCAAACACACAAAAAAAAAGTGTCTCGCAATTTTGATTTTTTTCCTGTATTCTGTGTTTTTATCTTTTTAAAGGGCTGCTAATTTTATGCATGAAAGGATCTGTCTGTTTCACAAAATGGATATTAACCCTTTATGGGTCAAGTAACCATATTTAGTCACTTCCGCACACATTTAAAATGCCCTCCCCCTGTCTCCATTTGGAGTTGTAGAGTCATATGGTTTTCTCTCAGCCAATCAGGGGAGATCAAGCTATCTGACAGATATTGACATCAAGGCATCTGACCAATCAGCAGTGGCCTGGAACACCTCAAACACAGCCATCTTGGAGAAATCATAAATATTGTTTTTTTGAACCTGGCTTTTCCTAGCCTCGTGAGACCATCCTGATCTCGCGAGCTTTCAAGGTTTCAAGGTTTCACTCGCAGATCAGTCTGGATACTTTCCGTTAAAGAAAATTTGGGAGCAGTTCACCAAACGAACGTCCAATCAGCGTTGGCTTTGAGACGGGTTGAGGTGTGACGCAACGAGAAGCGCGACAGTTCAGTCTAAAGAACATGTCGGCTTCAGCGGATGAAACTAGCATCAGCGTGGCTATCGAGCAAGTTTTATCGGAATTACAGAGTATTTCTTCACTGAAAGAAGAGCAAAACACTGCTCTGGAGGCCTTTCTCAGAGGAAAAGATACGCTCTGTTAGCACGTCATATGCTTCGTTGATCTGATTGGTTGATTTGGCCCGTCTATCACCAAAATAGGCCAATCAGCTAACCAGTATTTTCGCCCCTTACCAAAACTACTTCAACGGAAGGTTTCCAGATGGATATGCGGAGCAAATCCATCTGGCGGAGTCAGGTTAGGCTTTTCCCACAGCTATAGTAATAACATCATAACTAAACATGGTAAGTTGATGTAACTCACAAATTATTTGGTTGAATAGTTGTGTTAAAGATTAAGATTGTTTTTATTTGCATAGCTTAGCTTAATGTTCGGCTGAAAACTAAAGGCACCATATTTGATCATATGCCCCGTTCACCTAAGTGGCACAAGTGTCCATTTTTAGACATATGCCTTATGAATGTATGTTTTTTTTATTATAGGTAAATGGCATACACAGGTGCTTATTGTTAGTGTGAGGCCTATACTGTGTGAATTGATTTTAATTACTGAATATTGGTTTGTGATAAAACACAATTATGAGCAAATATAAGTGGTACTAACAATAATTATAATTGTATTTTCTGTTTTTATTGTGTTTTTATATTTTCTATGTCCATACTCTTTTCCCATTAGATCTACATTACACTGTTACTGTTTCTCTCAACAAATAAATCAGAGTTGGTTTAATATTGACTAAGCATATTACTTTTGCAGCTGTCTGCTTGGCTATTTTATGGGAAGAGGGATACCATTGTTGTTCCCATAAACCCTGCCATCAGCGATGATGATTGCTCAGAGGAAGAAGACAGATACCTCAAGACATAGATGTCTCTAAATAAATGTTCCTTGCAGTTTGTGCCTATAATATATAAATGTTCCTTGCAGTTTGTGCCTATAATATATAAATGTTCCTTGCAGTTTGTGTGTTTTTCTCATATTTTGTTAAAATTCACTCTCGGTAATTTATTTTACCAAGACGGGCAAGTGCTCATATATGGTAACTTCATTGACCTTGATTTGCAATGCAAAGATGAAAAAAATTTAGAATTTCTTTTTTTTTTTTAATGTCCTGTAACATTAGCTTTCTGAGGTTAAAATTTAGAATTTCCAAATATTTCAATGAGTGCCCTATAAAGGGTTAAGAAATGTTTACATTCCATTTCATAGGGTTCGAGCAGCAGTTCTTGAACCCCTAATCATAATTCTCCTATAAGCAAGAAGATGTGATGACTTGAGGTCCTACTTCAACGAGGAACTGTTTGGCTCCCTTAAGATCTTCTGGTGGTCCAGGCTCGCACTCCTTAAGCTCAATCTTCACGTCCAACAACATTTTTTTAATCTGCTGATTGAGCTGTGGCAGTGATGTCTGACAAAGATGGGTAAGAAACAATTTGGTTATAGTTTCTCACAAACCACAAATGCAGTTCACCAAATTTAGGACTTTTAGTTTGAGACATTTACAAACTTACTTTGATATGATCAACAAGATTCTGAGTCAGCTTGACAGCAAGACATTTAATAGTCGCTTTATCCTCATTCAAGAGATCTCTGTAGAAAAAGAGAAGGCAGTTAGTTTAGATGGGGCTTACTTTAGCTCATACTGTAGCTTGGCAAACAGGTATTCTTTTAAGTTTTGGGGGCGTTACAATCTGAACAACTAGCTTTGCCTTGTCACATAAAGGTGAAATATATCTGAGACTTATTGACCTTAATACAGTTTTAAGGGTCTGCAAGGCTTCTTTCTGTGATACATTTTTTTGAGTCTATATGTCTATATGATTTTGTGGACAAACTTTTTTCCAAGAATATTAATAGCGAAGCGAAGAAAAAATGTTTTTCCTAAGAAATATTACTAAAAGATTATGCCAAACTACTTAAGGTTTTCTTTTCATTAATTTCATTCTTACGTGTTTTTTTTTTTTTTTTTGCTTTGTTTGTTTTTTTACTTATATCAGGACAGTTGTGTCACTCTGAATGTTTTTTTATTATTAAATTTTTTTTTTTTTTATTTATTTTTTTTACTTTTTGCACCTCAAAACATAAAATGAATTTGAATTCAGAAATGACATGCTAAAAGTTTAATTATATTCTTTTCAGTCTGTAACCTGAAATGGTCATGGTTTTGGAAGAAATCTCTCTCTATTTGTGTCGCCTCCTCCAGAGGAATGTTCTCATCGATCTGCTGTTGTCCTCTACACTTCACCATGGTGTAACCTTTGCTGAGAGGAATCACTTTGTTGTGGACAATGTCCAGGATGTCCTTCTCTGTTCCCCTGTCTATGAGGTCTGGCTTGGTCAAAATGGCTGTGAGAATGAAAAAATGTTTTTTGTAAAAAGTGCATTTGATGATTTGAAGTCCTCAAATCCTCAAAGATATTTGATGTTATTAGATGTTGTGTGCGTATCATCTGCTTCATTACCGACAGTTCTTCCGCCCTCAGGATCTACTTCTTGTGCCATTTTTAATGCCTCTGTTGTTGCAATGTCAGTGTTACAAGGAACCACTACCAGGTTTATAGTCTCTTGCTTCTTAATAAATTTCATAATCAGATGTTTTATCTGCAAGACATGAAGACGTAGCTTTAAAACTGGATGTCTATGGTACTAAAATGTGGTGCGTAAAATCAGATTATGCTGCTCACCTGATTTCCAATATCTTGGGGTTGTCCTTTAACTGGGACTCTGGCAATTCCAGGTAGATCGATCACTGTGAGGTCACACACATCTGGTGACATGACCTCTAAAGTGATGAGTTCATCACATATTCCTACCCCACTTCCTGCCAGCTCATTCTGGGCTGTAACAACACACACACTGCAAAATTAACTGTGTTTATAAGAAAAAATAGTCCTTAAAGGTATACTCCACCGTTTTTTCATATTAAACTATGTTATTCCCTTAACTAAGACGAGTTGATACATATACCTCTCTCTCATCACTAGTGTAACTCGACCAAGAATGGTGACACAAAATAAAACGTTGCGCTTTTCTAAGCGTGCAAAGTGGATAACTATAATGTATGGCGGAATACCACAGCAAGTGCTTGGGAGCACTTCGACTCGGCGCATATATATCTATGGACTCGGCGCAGTAATATCATCACTCCGGAGAGGGAGAGGATTTTTCACAAGTGATGATATTACTGCGCCGAGTCAAAGTGCTCCCAAGCACTTGCTGTGGTATTCCGCCATACATTATAGTTATCCACTTTACACGCTTAGAAAAGTGCAACGTTTTATTTTGTGTCACCATTCTTGGTCGAGTTACACTACTCGTGTAATTGTATTTAAATAGGGAAAACGTGGAGGTGTTTAGTCGCTTCTCTGCTTGGCCCGTATTGAATGAACTGTGCTATCAAAGTGTCTCGCGCGCCAGAGCGATTGAGTGCACGCACTGAGACGAGAGAGGTATGTATCAACTCGTCTTAGTTAAGGGAATAACATAGTTTAATATGAAAAAACGGTGTATCCCTTTAAAGCAGCATGAGCCTGAAGCTTCCCTTTAGCTCTTTCATTGATACAAATGAATTAATTTTAATTAATTTTAATTAAACATATTTCATTCAGTACTTAGAAGTATCAATAAAAATAAATAGTTCAATGTAATTTTAATGTTAAAAATTAAAAAACACTATTTTACCCAATAATTATACTCTGCATTTCTCTTACTATTAGCTTAGCAATATGCGAATGACAATATAAATCAATTCCAGTGCAATGATTCCTATGTATGTGAATGGGAGAAAGTGCAACGTGCAATATGGCCTTCTAAAGAAAAGAGCCAATTGGCGATTGGTAAAGTCATTGCGTCACTGCAGTTGCCGTTAGAAGATCCGTTTGTTATAGAAACAGTCACAGTCAGTGTTCTGAGACGCGTGCTTAGGAATCCACATGCGCATTAGCTTGGTCCAGCTTTAAAAAAAAAATTGTCATGATACAAGCGTTTAGAAACAAAATTTATAAGACAGTTGTTGTCAAATTTCATTGGCGATTACAAATATGAAATTTAATCGTAAGCTTTGCAAACAGTTTTGGAGAATATGATGTTTCCGATTCAAAGAGATATAAGTTGCCTTAAAGGGACACTGGTTCTACTCAGAGCTTTACACGTCCTGAGACTCAGAATAATGTGTTTCTATGCCAAGACTTTCAATGCCAAAATGAATCTGCAGCAGTCAGGGGGTAAAGCGGCCACGTGGTATAACTCCGAAAATTCTGAGTTGTAATTACGAGTTTCTACGAGGACATGGGTGCTTTTTACAAGTCGGAATCTCATAATTACAGTAATTACGACATGGCGTGCAGGGATCTCCCAGTCACATGACCCCTAACCGCGTGTCAGCCATTTTGACGGAATACAACCGTCAGCTACTCAGTGGCGGATCTATTATTTAGGGTGGGCCACCCCTATTAATAGATCCATTGCCGTGGGTAATGTATATTATTAGTATATTATTATACTAATAATATAAATATTAGTATAATTATCTTTATAATTAGCCTAAATATAGCAATACTTTGCGCTACAGTATTGATATAATTGTGTGCGCAAAATATCTCGATAATGAACAGAATCGATTTTTTTCCTCCACCACTATCTATTATTAGCGCAGCGGCCGTCAGCTAACTCTACACGTCATGTCATCGCACATATTATTAGCATCACAAAAAGAAATAGCCTGTACAAGAGGTAGATAAAGGAATTAGGAATCATAGATCCATATGAACCACCACACGTTCTTTTTACAGGCATTAAATGTGTAGAAAAACTTCCTGACATTGAGTTCGGTGACATCTACAGCTACCTTATTCACTTCCCATCACGCTACACCGGAGATTCATTAAAAGCATACAAAAGCAGGCTATCGGTATCACGAGTCCGGATGGGTCAGCAACTCTTTGATCTGGACTCCAGCGGGGAAGGATTTTTCAATCATCACCGCAAAGGTTGATCAATGTATTTTTATCACCAAATTATACCTGTAATAATTTTTAAACTGAGTTTACAGGGAAAAACACAAAACAAAATCACCAACAAGATTAAGTGCATCTTAAATGAATTTGTTGAATCTAGTTTGATCCAAGAAAAACTAAATAATATGCGTAGGCCTATATACTTTTTTATACTTGTAACTATCATACTACAGTGACACTGACTGTCACTGTATGATAAACTGTCATTGATACTGTCTCAACCTGTGTTTCTGACGATTTATAAGAAGTGTCATAAAATACAAGATCAGCTTTCGGTATAAAGATATTCTTTTTGTATGATGACGTATCTGATCGCATCCAAGTGCACAGCATCGCTCAGGCATGATAGGAATATTTCGCGGCGAGCTGTAGCCCCTATTATCACCGGCGGTTTAGCATTTTCTATTCCGTCAAGATGGCTGCGCCAAATGGCGTGACGTCAGGCGGGACGTCCCATGCAATATGAGTTCTTCTGTGTGCAGTGATATGATGAACTGGAATAATACATTTAATTGACTGAATCAGCATCCAAGACAACAGCCATCAATGTTTTAAGACAAAACTAATTTTTATATTTATTTGGGATTTTGATCTCTATATTATATTCTAGTAACTCTGAAAAGAAAGGAGTTTTCCTGCAGATTTACTTACCTGCTGTAACATGTTCTTCAACTAATGAAGGATCTCCAAATTCAAATTTCTTCACATCATTTGTTGAATGTGCTACCTTTCCATTTGCCAATTTGCTGGGTTTAATAGGACCTGCAAAATTTCATGATTTAAATTCAGTTGTAAGATTGATAATTTCGAGTCAGTTGCAAAAAAACATCAAGTTAATAACACAAAAAAGACTCCAAGCAATTTATAAACCTGCAACAAATGAAGAATCCACAGATTCATTTCTCTTTTTACGGTAGGACAGAACAGCCTTCCACTTGACTCCACCAGTTACCTTCTTCAGCCTCAGCTCTAGTGGACATCTGGTGACAATTCCTATTGCAAACACAGTTCAGTTAGCAACCAAGAAAACTGACAGTGGAAAATGGTGTAACAACAGTGCATGTACTGACAAAAAGTAATCATTCTTTAATCACACCATGGACGATAACGATAGCGATAAAGATACTGTTCTAAAAAAAATTGTACGTATGTAAATGAATAGCAGAATCCAAACCACAACTATATTATCGGCATAGAAAAAAATATATTGATGGAATCACTTTCAGAATGTTTTTTCCAGCTGATAAACTATAAAAACTTTGAAAGCAAATCAGAATCCATTATGGACATTTATGTCATTTTCAGTTTTGTTTTTTTGATCACTTTGCCTGTGTTAATGCTAACTCCATAAACTGTGGCACAGGTGTGTATTTTTATTGGATTTTTACTATTTCACCCCCAAAAAATCTATTTTGCACTAGGTACACAAAATAGTTCCTCTCAGCGCCTTTTGGAGAAAAATGTGTGTATGTGCTTGTAATATTTGAGAGAAAAACTGTGTGTGGAGTTTTGCTGGTATATATTGAGGAAAATCTATTACTGCGCCCAAACAGTACCGAAAGCTAATTTTTTTAGATATCGTCCTCAAATTTGGAACACAACTTGTTAAGATTTATGGCTTTGAATTTCTGTCAGTTTTAGAGTTCAACATGTTTAATAAAATATAGATTTTATATAAAATAATGTTCATAAATCATTTTCATAAACTTCATCATCATCATCATTATCTTCTTCCGCTTATCCGGGGCCGGGTCACGGGGGCAGCAGTCTAAGCAGAGATGCCCAGACTTCCCTGTCCCTAGCACTGATCTATATAATGACTCGCGGCTGGTTCACACATCCATTGACTAGAGTGGGCTCGATCAGCTCCGGTAGCCGTGTCGCAGCCGTAACGCGCCGCAGACGTGTGCAGTGTAAATAAGGGGTAAATAAGAGGGGAAACAGGCGTACATTAACCCATACAATTTGTATATGCATTTCCTGAACATGTTCTTGCTAAATAATCAAACACTTGAACAGACTACTGATCTATCTGTAAAACACAATCTGAAAGAGCTATATTTTAAGTACACAATACACACTTAATTTTTAATAAGCAGGAATAATTTCCGACTTTAAACAAATACCCATTTAAATGCTTAGGATGTTTGCGTTGTAAGACTGTTCAGGGAGACTTTAGATTTAAAAACGGTGTCTCGTTATGCAATGTTTTCTCAGTCAAATCTACAATTTCCTATTGATTCAATAGAATGCGTGAGCTCACTTGGGAATACCAATATGGCGGCGCGGTGGCTTCACTCTTTATGACGTCATGAGCTATCCAGTCATTCTATATAAACCAGTGGTCCCTGGACACTTCCTCCAGCTCTACCGGGGGGACACCGAGGCGTTCCCAGGCCAGCCGGGAGACAGCCTACAGCGTGTCCTAGGTCTTCCCCAGGGTCTCCTCCCAGTGGGACCCGCCCGGAACCCCTCCCCGGGGAAGGGGTCCAGGAGACATCCGAAACAGGTAGCCGAGCCACCTCAGTTGGCCTCTCTATTACCGTGTTTCCACCAAAAAGGAACTGGTTCAGAACTGGTGCTGGTTCAAAGTTGGTTCAACTTGCGAACCTGTTTGTTTTTCCACTGACTAGAGAGCCCAGCGAACGACGTCGTTACGTCACTGTGTACGTCGCCATACAAGCTTTCCCATTCCCATCGTGTTGTTGGTCTCAACACGGCAGGTGCAAATGCATGCATGATTCATATCAGATTTATTTCCACATATTAATGAGGCCTGAAACATCAAGTATGACTGAACTCTCGCAGTTTAACGTTACAGGTTTGGGGGTTTCTAAGTCTTCCACCCAGCCGCAGCAGAATTGTTCATAAGCTTCTAATGACTTAACGCTTCTGAACTCTTGCATTGTGTAGGCAGTAACGTTATGGCACTGATACCATAAACCAGGTAATTGACTATGTCAGGGTATGTGAAAGGTGGTAGTGCTTTGGGTCTTTCGTCCATTCTGTAGCAGGTCGTACGGGTCCATGTTGTTGATGTCAAGTAGTTTCTCTAAATAATCTGCTGCTTGATTATTTAGTCTCTCCCGATAGAGCCCCTTTCCTTTTGCTTCCCCCTTCTTCATTTATTCCCAAGAAACTGTGCCTTATCGCAAAAATGCAAACAAATATCAAGCTGTTCTCTCTCTGCTGCTATTTCTCTCGGTCTCACTGTCGAAGTAACCATGACAACGGATAGCGTATCCTTCCAAGATGGCGACGTCTTCCCACAATGCAACGCGGAGTGAAACGCGTGACGTCACATTCTCATTCTCAATGGGAAAATCTGTTACTGTGCCCAAACAAAATCTTACCGAAAGCTCATTTTTTGAGATATCAACCTCAAATTTGGAACACAACTTGTTTAGATTTATGGCTTTGATTTTCTAGCCGTTTTAGAGTTCAACATGTTTCATAAAATATAAATTTTTTAAAAAAAATCATAAATCATTTTCATAAACTTAAACCTATATGACTTCTATTTTTTTTTTTTTACTTTATACAAAATTTTTTCCAGCAATAATCTGCCAATGGTCTTCTTTATAATGAGACCAAACTTAAGTCTGTGCTCCCAAGCTTACAATTTTTATGACAGTTTTTTGACAATTTTTTTTTCTAATGAAATCTTATTTAAGTGGTTTGTTGCTGCCAGACTAACTTTCTGCTGTGACATGCAGATGGTAGGGTCAGACTTTGGCATAAACAATTTGAATTCATTGATCCATCCTACCTTTCAGGCTGGAAGTGCAATAAAGCAAAACTGGAGAGGTGTAGGCTACCTAAAATGGTCATTGTGTTTATACGAATTTCCAATAGCAAAGGAGAGTAAACCAGTCCTCACCGCTTCCTCTTGGTAATGCAACTCCAGACAGCGCTTCCAACACAGAGCTTTTCCCAGAACTCTGATCTCCGATCACTGCAATAGTCGGTAATGCCACGTCCTTCTGAATGCCAACTGACCGCAGAGTGTCGATCAGATCAATGTACGGACGAATGCTCTCCTCTAAATAACTGTGAACTGCTCCCTTCATTTGCTGACTGTAAAGATAAAAACGTACATTTGTATATAAACAAATCTCATTATTGCACAGTATTAATTCAGTTTTTAGGCATTAATTGAGCTTAATGCTACAAGTTTTCTATCTTCAAAAAATCACATGGTAACATATTGTTTCTAATATATTGGAAATAATCTTATTATTGTGGTCGTCTGAGGGCACTATGCCCTTTGTAATATCTTATCTGAGTGCAAAATGCTGTTTGATCAAGAGAATTTCAATACTAAAAATAATAAATGCCTACAATATTGTCTGTTTATCATTGTTTGGAGTTTTTTAAAATCATATACGAGTGATTATGAACATAAGTATGAAAAACCAAATTCATTGTGGCGAGCAGGACGAGGCCCGGGGCCGTGAGAGAACGGAGCGAGGCCGGTGACGTGATTGACCTGCACCTCCGCGACCCACTGGTTTCGATCGTCACTGTCGTCGCTCCTCCTTTTATGCTTCCGCTCCTCCGTGAGAGATAGCCACAGCGTGGAGCAGGTCGCAGGAAAGTGTCGCAGCCTATCCAGGCCCCAGCCAAACCCGTAAAGTGTCAAGAGAAAATCCTTAGTTCAGTTTTGTTTTTGTTGTTGTTTTTGTACCCAAATGATCAATAAAAGAGCAGTTTTCTCTCTCTCTGGGCCCCAAGAGGGCATGCATATCACTGCACGACGCTTTGCCTTGCCACTCTCATCCCCCTCTGCTATCGCCCACCTGGCTGGCTCATTCGGACCATCAGACTCAGCTATGCAATTCAGTTCGCCCGGCATCTCCCCAAGTTCAACGGCAATCAGGTCACCTCTGTGATGGACAAGGATGCTCCTGTCTTATGAGCAGAGATTGTAGTCCTGCTGGTGAAGGACACGATAGAGCCGGTCCCTCCAGCCGATATGAGGTTGGGATTCTACAGCTCCTACTTCATTGCACCCAAGAACGACAGTGGGTTACAGCCAGTCTTGGACCTGAGAGTTTTGAATCGCTGATGCAGAAACACATTTTCGAATGCATCCGTCCCTGAGGTTTGCAGTGATCGACCAGAAGGACGTGTACTTTCAAGACTCGATTCTCCCTCAGCACAGACCGTTCCTACATTTTGCGTTCGAGGGTCGGGCATATCAGTACAAAGTCCTCCTGTTACGACCCCTGAGGTGGTCGATCAAGGGGTAAAGGGGAGAAACATTAATTTGAAACACAGAAACACAGCTGAACTTAACTGCAAACAAGTGTTTTATTTACAAAAGTTGAAATGTATATATATCACGAGTATAGGGAATATATTTACAATGAGGAGGTAGATTTAAGTAGCCTGACTACGTCAGACTTCGTACTTCCGCTCAATTTCATTTCGCTTCTGTACTTAGTCTGAGACATCGACATGTCTCTCAGTTCCCCTTCAGGGACTACCGCTGCGTGTAATCGCAGTGGGAACGCCCCCCAGCGTAGCACGTCTGAAGCATGAATGAAATCAGTCAATGGAGCGTCACAGCGAGTGACGTCACCGACCAGGAAGCTATAAATATCCCCTGAATACACAAGCCACCAGCTTCTGTTACTTCAGCAGCGCTCTGTGTGTGTCTGATATCTTTCGATTGTGTTTGTCTGATTCTGTCAGGAGTTTTCACTATATATATATATATATATATAAAAAAAACAAAATGAGCGAGCAGTATAGAAAGTGTGTTCCCCCCTGTACACGTTACATCACGGGTGGGGATTCTCACGAGTTATGTGTAGCTTGTTTGGGAGTTCAGCATGCTCAGTCGGCTCTCGAGGGAGTCGATTGTGAGCATTGCGAGCGCTTTCCTTTGAGAACTCTGCGCTCGCGGCGATCGCTCTTTGAGGAGAGTGGTTTGCTGCGAGCTCCCCAGGGCTCGGGTCCCGCTTCTGTTGAGGCAGAGCGGCGGCGCTTGACTTGGGGTTCGCAGATGGATCTCACTGGCGACGCTGAGACGGGCCCCGCCCTATCTCAGCTTTCTCCGGCGGGATCCAGTGCCTCTCACCCGGCTCTGGAAGCACGCGCTGCGGCGGTTACTTCCACCCGAGTGGAGGCACATGATGATGTGGAACTTAGATTATCCAGTTCTGAGGATCTGGATGTCGAAAGTTTGGCATCAGAGGAAACTAGCTCACTTCATTATACTGCTGAAGAAGGTTTGATGGATGTGTTATCTCGGGCTGTTGAAAAACTCAGTATTGAATGGCCAACTGATAAACAGGAATCTAGAAATAAAAGTAAACTAGGTGATAGATTTCTCTCTGCACGTCCTCAGCCTTCTCGCTGGTGCTTACCGTTCTTCCCAGACCTTCATGCTGAGGTTTCAAAGACCTGGGTTAGACCGGTTTCGAGCAGAATATATACTAATCAATCCAATGCTTATGGTAATATTTTTGGTGCAAAGTCTGCTGGATATGTGACGATGCCGAAGGCGGAGGAGACGCTCGCGAGCTATCTCTCTCCTGCCTCGGCATCTTCGCTTAAAGCACCGGCTCTTCCTTCTAGACCACTGAAAAATACTTCTGTGCTGGTGGGGAAGGCTTACTCGGCGGCTGGGCAGGCGGCTACATGTTTGCATACAATGGCCATTATGCAGGCTTATCAGGCTGACCTGCTCAAAGATGTGTGTGAGGGGGGAGAAATTTCGGCAGATATGATTAATGAGCTCAGGCAGACTGCTGATCTCACTCTCCGGGCCACCAGGGAAACAGCTAAATCTGTTGGCCGGTCTATGGCAGCCATGGTGGCCACAGAAAGGCATTTATGGTTGAGTCAAACCTCTATGAAAGAAAAAGATAAATCTCTCCTATTAAATGCTCCCGTTTCGCCTGTGGGCCTCTTCGGTGACGCTCTTCACTCTGTCACTGAGAGGTTCCAGGAAGAGAAAAAACAGGCGGCTGCTTTTCATAAGTTTATCCCTCTCAAAGTGCGCGTCACTGGGGCTGCTGAGCGAGGGCAGTCCCAGCCGTCGAGTTCGTCTTCTAAAAGAGCAAAGCAGAAGCGGAGTGTCGCGTCTCGTGCCCCCCCGCAGACAAACTGGAGGGACGAGGCGGGGCACTCTCCGGCGCGGCCTTCTCGGGGCAGGACTGATCTGAGGACAGTCATTGTCGCCAGGAAGGCCGCGTCGAAAAAGTCCTGACGGGCTGAACGTCAGGACTCTGAGGGTGGTCCCCATCGGGAAAGACTTGAGTTCGCCGCTCAAAGACACGGCGCCCTGTCTTTCTCGATGCCCTCAGGGGTCTGTTCTACTAACCCTGCCTATACAGGGCGTAGAGAGACTCGGCGAGCGATTTCCCGAGGGATGCTCGCCCCCTCCGAGGAGGGTTGTGGAGTGCTCAGACCAGCTGTTTCCTGCCAGTATGTTACAGGGCGCTGTGTCTGTCACTCGGGATGTTCATCCAGAGGCCAGCCTCGAGAGGCTGGTTCCCTTAGTAGAGTTCCTGGCGGAATGGGAAATGCTTCCCAATGTTTCTCAGTGGGTCCTGAATATTATAAAGAACGGGTACGCTATTCAGTTCAGAACGCGTCCACCTCGGTTCAGAGGGGTTCTGCCCACGGTGGTGGGCCCCGAGCAGGCTCTGGTATTAGAACAGGAGGTAAAAACTCTGCTGCACAAAGGGGCTATAGAACGGGTTCCTCCGCCCAGCAGGGAGTTAGGATACTACAGCCGGTACTTCATCGTTCCGAAAAAAGATGGAGGGCTGCGTCCCATTCTAGATCTGCGTCTCTTAAATCGCACTGTAGGGAAGCTCAAATTCAAGATGCTCACTCTCAAACAGATCGTGTCACAAATCAGATCCGAGGACTGGTTTGTCACGATAGACCTAAAGGACGCTTACTTCCATGTATCCATCCTCCCTCAACACAGGAAGTTCCTGAGGTTCGCTTTCGGGGGCGAAGCGTACCAATATCGGGTTCTTCCGTTTGGCCTAGCACTGTCACCTCGCACGTTCACGAAGTGTATGGATGCAGCTATAGCCCCGCTGAGGCTGCAGGGCATTCGTATTCTGAACTATATAGACGATTGGTTAATTCTAGCTCAATCAGAACAGCAGGCGGTTCGGCACCGAGATGCCGTTCTTGCTCAAATCAAGAGGTTGGGGTTGAGGCTCAACGCCAAGAAGAGTGTTCTTTCTCCATTACAGAGAACCACTTTTCTCGGTGTAGTGTGGGATTCGACGACGATGCAGGCACAGTTGTCACCTGCTCGTGTTGCTTCGATTCTCGCCGCAGTAGATCAGGTCAAGCTAGGCCAGTCGTCCACTGTAAAGCCGTTCCAGAGACTGTTAGGTCTCATGGCAGCTGCGTCCAACGTGATACCTTTTGGCCTCCTGCACATGAGACCGTTACAGTGGTGGCTCAGAACCAGGGGATTCTCCCCGAGGGGAAATCCGTTTCGCATGATCATGAGTTCGCGACGATGTCTTCGCGCCCTGGTTATGTGGAAAGATCCTCGGTTTCTGTCCCAAGGCCCGGTGTTGGGAGCTCCTTGTCGTCGTGTTATGCTAACGACAGATGCCTCTCTCACGGGGTGGGGGGCGATCATGAGTGGTCGCCCAGCTCGGGGTCTGTGGGAGGACCATCACCGTCTATGGCACATAAATTGTCTAGAGGTGTTGGCAGTGTTTCAGGCTCTGAAACACTTCCTCCCAGACCTAAGGGGCCACCATGTTCTTGTTCGAACAGACAACACATCGGTGGTCTCTTATATCAACCATCAGGGGGGTCTGCGTTCTCGCCCACTTTACAAACTGGCACGTCAGATTCTCCTATGGTCCCAGGGGAGAATTCTTTCTTTGAGAGCTATTTATCTCCCAGGGTACTTAAATCAGGGGGCAGACATCCTGTCGAGGCAGGGGCCGAGGCCCGGGGAATGGAGTCTTCACCCCGAGGTGGTGGAGCTCCTATGGGAACATTTCGGTCGTGCCAACTATCCTTCTTCTTGCTATCTCGTCTCTAAAAAGAATTGGAGATATTCAAGCACTTTCGGTGGCTCCCTCGTGCCTGGAATTTGCTCCTGGTATGGTAAAAGCTTTTCTCTGTCCGAGACCAGGGTATGTTCATAAGGTACCAACCACTTCGGTTAGACCTATAGTTCTGCAGGCTTTCTGTCCTCCGCCTTTTTTGACGTCAGACCAGGAGAAACTTAATTTGCTGTGTCCCGTTAGGGCTTTAGATGCGTATGTCCACAGAGCTGCCCTGTGGAGGAAATCAGAACAATTGTTTGTCTGTTTTGGGTCACCTAAGAAGGGGTGTCCAGCATCTAAGCAAAGGATGAGCAAGTGGGTGGTCGAGGCCCACTTCTGTAAGTGCTCATTCCACCCGGAGTATGGCTGCTTCTACAGCTCTTCTTTCAGGAGCTTCTCTTCAGGACGTTTGTGATGCGGCAGGCTGGTCCTCACCGCACACTTTCGTCAGATTTTATTCCCTTGACCTTAGCTCCACTCCCGGGGCTCAGGTTCTCTCGTCGGCTTGTGTCTCCTTATGACACACGACGGGGATTTGGTCGTATGGGGATGTGGGTATTGCGTTCCCACTGCGATTACACGCAGCGGTAGTCCCTGAAGGGGAACGTCCCGGGTTACGTGTGTAACCCTAGTTCCCCGAAGGGACGGACGCTGCCTGCGTGTCCTGCCATACTCTCGGCATCCCCTTGGATCGCTTGCTTCAGTAACATTAGAAGCTGGTGGCTTGTGTATTCAGGGGATATTTATAGCTTCCTGGTCGGTGACGTCACTCGCTGTGACGCTCCATTGACTGATTTCATTCATGCTTCAGACGCGCTACACTGGGGGGGGGGGTTCCCACTGCGATTACACGCAGCATCCGTCCCTTCGGGGAACTAGGGTTACATACGTAACCCGGGACGTTTTCCTCCGGCCTGAAAACAGCCGGCCAATCAACGAACAGAGGGTGGGCTGAGAGCCATGACGTAGACGCTAAGCGCCGAGTTTAAGATTGGGGAAATCGAAAACGACCGCGGATATGGAGACACGGGATGCAATCATAGACAGTAAAAGAAATGGACACAGCGACCCCATTGATTTCAACGGAGAAAATTGAAGACCGTTAAAAGCTGATAGCCAGGAGTACTGCGCAAGCTCAAACTGAGCCTGTCACGTGAGCAACCTGTATGTCTTATAGTAGCTGTGCCGAGTGAAATCTGAATAATTCCCTTCCGAATCTCACAGAGACGGAGAGAGTGAGTATTAGCTGTCCACGAGCTAGCAGCAGGATCAACTTTATGACTCTCTATGGGCTTCTCCCTCGACTTTATCGAACTTTATGCCTCCACGTCCCCCCGATTGCCTGCGAGCTTCTCCTCCTGTCTATACGATAATTTCTCTACTGTGCGACGGAGAGTCAATTCGTTATGAAGCAATCGTTAGCCTATTTTTACAAAAACTGCTTCTACGGGGCCATAACATAAGATACAAGGTAATGGAGTCTTTTATACATTGTCGTGTTTCTTTAGAAAAAAACAATGGACAAATGGAGTCTTTAAACGCCTCAGATGTAAAGTTATTCGCTGTCAAAGTGACGCCAAAATGAATGGGAGTCAATGGAATGCTAACAGCAGGTGAAGTTCTGCTACAATGGCGGCTCCCGCGAGGCTTCAACTTCCGGCTGATGGATTACCCCCTTGGATGCAATTCGCTCTGTTGTGGAGAATATTCCTGGCATTTCCAAACTGAAGCCCGAACAATAAGAGTGTTTGTTAAACATTTTGAATGGAGGTGATGTCGTGGCCCTACTCCCGACAGGTTTTGGTAAAAGTTTAATTTATCAAATATTACCGATCGTCAGCGAGAAACTGGGGGATCGGCAAGGCGATAGTTGTGATTGTGTCCCCCTTGGTTGCACTCATGGAGGATCAGGTTAAGGAGGCAGCAAAACTCGGTCAGCCATGTTCACTCTGTTATTTCGCTCGATGGTTTCGTTTTAGCATCATACATGTGTTTACAGTGGAAGTTCGATGCGGCTGAGCTGGTGAATAACACACATCATAACCAAACATTATGTGATAAGCTTACGGGTAACCAATGATTTTATACTTCAGACAAGCTTTCTCTCTCTCTCTCTCTCTCTCTCTCTCTCTCTCTCTCTCTCTCTCTCTCTCTCTCTCTCTCTCTCTATCTATCTATCTCTTTCTCTCAATTTTAAGGTTTCCTATACAGATCGGAAAAGGCACAGAAAAGATGCAGGTTGAAGGTCCGTGTGAAGTCAAATCTGGTATGTTCAACAGATTAAAATATAAAACATATGTAAAAATATATTAAAAACATGAGAATGGAAAAACATTAGGGCTTCAATGACTAACCCATAATGATTGAAAAAGAAAAAGAAATCAAATCAGCAGTTTCTTGGAAAATTAAATGTTAAATGTTTTTTTTTTTTACACCTATTTTTCTTTTAATGCACATCTAAAAACTTAGTGAATGTGGAATATGTAGTTGTAATTTCATAGATATAAACAATACTACCAATTGTCATTTACAATTTTATAAAGATGTATGTATGCTTTGCAACAAAAAAAAATGCAGTCATGGACCCAAAAGGAGGCCTTGGTTATGTACGGTTGAATATATTTCATTAGAGTTATTTAATTTTAAAATAGTTTTTCTATATGTTTTTCCAGCTACCACCAGAAGTGCTCAGTCACATTCTTAGATGTTGTTTATGAGTATGAAGAAAGGAGACAAATCACTCTGTCACTAGTGTGCAGAAAGTTTAATGAAACCATAACCAAACCTAAGTGTGTCTGTTTCCCATTGCCAATCAAAAGTTCTACACACACTTGCAGTCCAAACACTTTGCCAAAATACAGGAAATACATAATATATACAAGTAGTCAAGTGCAAAGACCGCAAGTGCGTATTTGGTCACCCCCATAACATATTCATAACAGCGCCATCTTTGCCGTTTTTAACAGGAATGATTGATGCTGTGAGGGACAGACATTTATCCCTTTAGAGGGTTGTATTATTTAATGTGTTTTTGTATTGTTCTGAATTGTTTTGAAACACTGCTCCAGAAAAAAAAAACTCTATGTAAGCTATGTAAAATCATGAGTGATCTAGGAGCTTTATGCAGCTTTTTACAGCGGGTGCCACTGAAAAGACGGTAAGTCTATTCCTCACAACCTCGCTTTTAATACTTGTCATGGCGCTGCTCTGAATACACTCAAGTGACCTGCCCTAATAAACTCACATTACTTTGTATATAAATGTACATTTTTCTTTTCTTTTTTACGTCTAGATGACAAGAAATTAACATGGCCAATAAAAGCATGTACAAATATTTCTACATTTAAAAAAAAAACAATTTACTAAATAATTCAGTTTAATAATAAGCAAATAAAATACTAACCTTTCATCTTGAGAACTGTCACTATCTTCTTCATCATCATCATAAGCATTTCTTCGAAGTGGAGATAGCAATAAAGAAGATAAGTCTGAAGTAGACATTTTCTGGATAAAAAGGGAATTCTTTTAAAAAATCAGTTCTGAGAAAAGATAATGTTCTTAGATTTAGATGCCTCTTGTAAATTGTATAATTTAGGTTTCAGCCAAATAGAGCATTTGAGGTGATGCTGAAGAGAAATCAAATCTATTGCAGACTGAATTTATAGTGAAACACGCCCATGTAAAGAGGTAGAACACGTGACAGACAGGTGAGGTGTAAGACTGGAAAAACTGGAGGAACTGAAGAGAGGGCTAAACTCTCTGAGAGAACAAAGGAAATGAACATTTGAGTTCACTCTTGTGAAGGTATAGCATTACCATTCGAGATGCAAGTCTCGCCTCAGAATGAACTTAATCTACATTTATTTCCCTCTTCTCCCATCCCTTCTCCCTCATGCTGAGATCACCAAAATTCACCCAAGAATCTATATAGTTTAATGTGAATAACATACACATAATAATAATTAAAAAAAACATGTGAGATGATTTCAGAGGTGAATTCTTTGTGAGTGGAATTCTGTCTAAATGGCAAAACTAATGGGTGCGGAAACCACACTGTTGGTAGTTTGTTAGTTGAAATAAGTAAACCAACAAAAGGGTGAACATATTATGGTTTACTTTGTCATTTATCCATAATGTTTTAATGTTAAGTGTGTTTTAATGTACTTGTATTAAATTTATTATTTTGAATTATTTAAAATATTTAATTTTGTCATTTATATTTGTATTATCTTAAGTTACAATTTTCCATTTTTATCATAATTTTTATATTTAATTGTATTGTATTTATAATATTTTATTTTGTCATTAGTTCTTTTATATATGTTTTTGTTTAACCATTTTGTCTTATCTTAAGTTGTTAAAACATATTTTTCTCGACCCTTTTGATTTCTCGGAAAGGTGAAACTTATAACAGACATCCATAAACACAATATGTTCTTTCTTAGACTAACTTTGCTTTCATTTTCCCTTTTCGTTTTCCCGTAAAATGCCCAGTTCCAGTCAAAACTTGCTACAGCAAGTGCTGCAGGAACTCTGCAATGTTGTAGGCCAACCCAGAAGTTTCAAAAGCATTATCCTGGTTACCTCGATGAAAAGCCAATGAGATTTTTTTAATTGGCTTTTGGATTATTGCAGAAAATAAACTCTGTGACCAACAAAAATTTATGAACCTTACAGGTTTTATTCATCAAGATAGTCTTCACAAATGATCACAACTTTTATAAATTCTGAAGCATAAATACAAAAAGCAGAGGTAAAAAGCTAAAGTTAGGCTATAAACAAACTGCACGGTCGTGTGACATCACCACCACCAACCTTTCAATAACTTTAAATCTAAATTGGAAAGTTTAAGTTAGTTTGCAAGATCATGAACACAACAAGACTTTAAACACAGCTTGATGATGTTTAATGTCCCCAAAAGTTCCTGTTGTCCCTCTTTATAATCTTGATGTGTAATCTTTATATTTAATTGTATTGTATTTATAATATTTTATTTTGTCATTAATTTGTTTATATATGTTTTTGTTTTACTATTTTGTCTTATCTTAAGTTGTTAAAAAAATACTTTTCTTAAAAAAAGCTTTATATAATTTCTTTTTTGATGGATTGCCATTTATTATATTTTAGTTAAAAGTATCCTTTAGCTATTTTTTTTGTTTGTTTGTTTTTGTTTATTAGATGTATAAAGTCATAGCTGTTTGTTTGATGACTTGGGCTATGGTTAGATCGATGTCTATTAAATTTTCACTGAGCCCAAATTAAATCTTGTTTTAGCTTGCAACGGTTATGGACTTCTCCAGATAAATGAATACCGTAATAAAACCCCTTGTGTTTACTTTTATTTTGATTGTTATCAGCACTGTTAGACATTTTGTTGTATTTTTGCGGTAATTTTTTACTGGCAGCACAGTACGTTATTGTAAGTTCCCCTTTACAGTAGCTTACCTGTAAATGTGTTTTATGGTATGATACCCTTACTGCAATTTCATTTTACAGTAAGATGCCCTTACCGCTATTTAATTTTACAGTAAGATGCCCTTACTGCAATTTAATTTTACAGTAAGATGCCCTTAACGTGATTTAATTTTACAGTATGATGCCCTTACTGCAATTTCATTTTACAGTAAGATGCCCTTACCGCAATTTCATATAACAGTATATTGCCATTACTGCACTTTATTTTTATAGAATAAAACAGTCAATTTACTTTAATTTATATTTTGCATGAATGCAATTAAATTTAATCAATTCCAAAAAAAAAGTGACTTGAGTCCATGTACATCAGCATATTCTTTTTTCCCTGTCACAATCAATTACATCCATTTTATTTATTTATTGTGATGCAATATTAGGCAAGGCAGTTTTATTTATATAGCACATTTCATACACTTTGGCAATTCAGAGTGCTTTACACAGTAAGGAATTGAAATAATCACAAAATAAAAGCAAGGAAAATTAAAGTGCCTCTATTATGGATTTTTGAAAATGACCTTTCATGTAGTGTGACCTTTCATGTAGTGTGTAACATAAGTGAATGAAGACATCCTGCAAAGTTTTAAATCTGAAAGTGCACCGTATATAAAGTTATTGTCTTTCAAAAGTAAGAGTCTGAGTAAATGAAATGAATCGTTTTTCAAACGAGTCATGTTTCGAATGAAACATTAGCATATTGCCCGCCCACTTATTGCGCACGCAGACACCAGGGAAAACTTGAACCCCCTCGAACACTGCAGCTGATTCCTGTGGATACTGCATTATGTCGAGAAGACGCTGTGGTCTACAATGTGAAGGTAAAGCCAGTTTTTTTCCACTGCCAAAAGAACGAGCATGTGAAGAATCAGTGGTTAAAATTTTACCACAGCAATATAATCCTAAACTTTTGCTGTGTTCCCTTTATTTTACTGACAACAGCTTCTCAAATCTCTGAGTTTCATGCAGGATTCGCAAACCGCTTGCTCTTGAAAGATGGTGTTCAAATACTTTTTTTGAGTTATACTAGTAACTCACTAGTTTTGAGTTTTAAATTGTGTAGATCTTCTGCTAACTGGTTAACTCACATTATTACTGTCAGTTGTGGGCCATTATTACCTGAAACTGTGTCTATTAATGCAGATTGTCTGTCGTTCTCACTACTTCGAGGAAAGATTAAGCATGGAGCAAGATTTGTTTTACCAATGTCTATGTTACATCAGTCATTCACGCTAGAGCTTGGCTAATCTATGCACTGTTATTGGTTTCCACATGTTCACCACAATAAATTAGAAAAATACTCTTTAATAAATTTAATTTTAATTAAAAAAAATTAAGTACAAGTAAAATAATCGGGTTGTTGATGGACATGCACTTGTTAACGCTGATGGTGAGGAATTACAGTTGCAACATCTCATAATGTACCTCAAACTGAGTAATGTATCACTGCGAAACATCCTGCTCGAGTCGTCCTTGCGATAGAGGTTCGGGTTGAATAACTAGTTATTGCAGTGTTTCATTATTGGACTCGTGCTCGGATTGAAAATCGATGTCATTGTTCATTACTGTGTTTAGTTTACAGTGTAGGAAGCCTCAGGACAGCTGACGTTGTTATAGCATTGGCGTTATTGTTTTCGACACACGCTCTGTGCGCGGTAAACCAATCACAACAGACTGCTTATATAGCTTTATTGCACATCCTTGTTAGGGAACTCTATTAATTGCCTGAATGTACAATTACGTAAAAGGTACACTGAGTAACTTTATAGCCCTTCAAACTTAAATCTGAAATAGAAAGCTTTTGAAACATTACAAATGTTCTCTTTCATCATCTCGTTTCGAGATCCACCTATGGGAAGGGCATCCGTACCTGACCTCTGCAGAAGCATCCAATTGCACCAAGTCTGGCTAACAGACAGAAGCGCGCAGCCAATGCCAGGTGAGGCCACACCCCCTTACCTACGGGCATATCACAGCTGGGCGCACTGCTATTCCTCAGTTGACATTCGCTTCTCGCGATCTCTGCATTGACACAGTTCGGTTGGATTAACGTTACGCTGCTCACTTTCGAGTCTTCAGGAGGACATATCGCCAGATCAGCCTCCGCCAGACATGAGTGACAGTCGTTTCTTCAGCCTATCCGCTGTGTTTTTTGCATCCGGAGCCGCCCGAGCTCTCGCTGTCCTTCACCTGCTCCTCCTTTACATGGCTGCCCGCCACGGATTTTTCCGAGTTCTTCACCGCTGGCCCACCCATGGCTATGTGACCGTCTAAACAGCCGCGTCCCCCGGGGAACAGCCTATCACGACGAGCCTGCCCGGCCGCGTGTGGTGCTCTCATCGCCGCTAAGGACCCTCTCGTTCTGCGCGGTCTGCTTGGGCTTAACACGCTCAAGCTTTGGAGAACCCGGAGGATTGCGGTCATTGTAATTGCTGCCCATGTAGCTTTTACTAAGCCGGCTTTTAGTTGCACGACACAGCGCGCCGTGCTCGGCCTTTCTGACTCGGAGGGGAGACACGGTGATGATGACGCGCTACCGGGGGACTCCCGGAGCGCCACCTCTCTAAAATATTTGAGCTGACATCAGCCCAATCCGCATTCCCTGAAGAGGACATCTTCGCGGGAAAACCTCACTCTCGTTGACGAACCGGTCGGTTCCAGCGAACGGGGATGACGCGGTCCTTTTAGCGTTCCCTAGGCTAGCGCTCACGCGGCTTTGCCTCAGTCCATCCTCCTGGAAGTTTGTGAGCGAGCGGCCGTTCGTCTCAACATTGTGTGGCCAGCTCCACAGAGCGCCACCGACCAGGATAGGAATATTTACGGCGTGTAAACGCTGGGACCACCGCCCAGTCGGAGGAAACAACTCTTAAGAACGTTTTTTCCACCAAAAAAAAAAAAAAAGGCGTTCGCGAAGCTCATAAGCACGGCTGGAGCGTCCTCCTAGACTGTTAACACGGTCTCACGGGCCTTGATGTGTTACGATTACGCGTTGAGGTTTTCAATTTATGCCTTCCTAGGAAGGCGGTCCCGGACGCAAGCGCCCTGCCTGTTGTTCGACCATTGGGATTAACGTTAACTCAGGGTCTCCCACCTACGGTCAGTTAATCCCGTCTCGTGGCTGCCCAGCCCGTGTGTTAGTGGACGTTGTGTGTGTGTGTCCCCCTCCC